TGCCCCGGAAAACCCGAAAATCTGACCCTTTGGCTGGGGCAAAAAAAAACGGTTTCTCAGTTTTCACTTTTTCCACATACTTTTGACAGTTCTGACTAGCCCGGCGCTTAAATAGTTGGAATCAACGTTCACCCGGCTAAAAAATTCGATTTTGGCGAAAAATCCAACATCTGACACGTTGACCCTTGTGACGCTTGTGACCCTCGGACCGACATTCTCCGCGGAAAGATCCACGATCCAAAACTTTGGCCTCCGGTGAAAAAAAATTTTTTTCATTTTTTACTTTTTCCACATATTTTTGATAGTTCTGAATAGCCCGTCGCTTAAATAGTTGGAATCAACGTTCACCCGGCTAAAAAAATCGATTTTGGCGAAAATCCACTTGCCCCGGAAAACCCGAAAATCTGACCCTTTGGCGGGGGCCAAAAAAAAACGGTTTCTCAGTTTTCACTTCTTCCACATACTTTTGACAGTTCTGACTAGCCCGGCACTTAAATAGTTGTAATCACCGTTCACCCGGCTTAAAAATTCGATTTTGGCGAAAATCCACTTGCCCCGGAAAACCCGAAAATCTGACCCTTTGGCGGGGGCCAAAAAAAAACGGTTCCTCAGTTTTCACTTTTTCCACATACTTTTGATAGTTCTGACTAGCCCGGCGCTTAAATAGTTGGAATCAGCGTTCACCCGGCTAAAAAATTCGATTTCGGGGAAAATCCACTTGCTCCGGAAAACCCGAAAATCTGACCCTTTGGCGGGGGCCAAAAAAAAACGGTTCCTCAGTTTTCACTTTTTCCACATACTTTTGACAGTTCTGACTAGCCCGGCGCTTAAATAGTTGGAATCAGCGTTCACCCGGCTAAAAAATTCGATTTTGGGGAAAATCCACTTGCTCCGGAAAACCCGAAAATCTGACACTTTGGCTGGGGCCAAAAAAAAACGGTTTCTCAGTGTTCACTTTTTCCACATACTTTTGACAGTTCTGACTAGCCCGGCGCTTAAATAGTTGGAATCAACGTTCACCCGGCTAAAAAATTCGATTTTGGCGAAAAATCCAAGATCTGACACTTTGACCCTTGTGACCCTTGGACCGACTTTCCCCCCGGAAAAATCCAAGATCCGACACTTTGGCCTCCGGTGAAAAATTTTTTTTTTCATTTTTCACTTTTTCCACATACTTTTGATAGTTCTGAATAGCCCGTCGCTTAAATAGTTGGAATCAACGTTCACCCGGCTAAAAAATTCGATTTTGGCGAAAAATCCAAGATCTGACACTTTGACCCTTGTGACCCTTGGACCGACTTTCCCCCCGGAAAAATCCAAGATCCGACACTTTGGCCTCCGGTGAAAAATTTTTTTTTTCATTTTTCACTTTTTCCACATACTTTTGATAGTTCTGAATAGCCCGTCGCTTAAATAGTTGGAATCAACGTTCACCCGGCTAAAAAATTCGATTTTGGCGAAAAATCCAAGATCTGACACTTTGACCCTTGTGACCCTTGGACCGACTTTCCCCCCGGAAAAATCCAAGATCCGACACTTTGGCCTCCGGTGAAAAATTTTTTTTTTCATTTTTCACTTTTTCCACATACTTTTGATAGTTCTGAATAGCCCGTCGCTTAAATAGTTGGAATCAACGTTCACCCGGCTAAAAAATTCGATTTTGGCGAAAAATCCAAGATCTGACACTTTGACCCTTGTGACCCTTGTGATCCTTGAGCGACTTTCTTCCCGGAACAATCCAAGATCCGACACTTTGGCCTCCGGTAAAAAAACATTTTGTTCATTTCTCAATTTTTCCGCATACTTTGGATAGTTCTAAATAGCCCGTCGCTTAAATAGTTGGAATCAACGTTCACCCGGCTAAAAAATTCGATTTTGGCGAAAAATCCAAGATCTGACACTTTGACCCTTGTGACCCTTGTGATCCTTGAGCGACTTTCTTCCCGGAACAATCCAAGATCCGACACTTTGGCCTCCGGTAAAAAAACATTTTGTTCATTTCTCACTTTTTCCGCATACTTTTGATAGTTCTAAATAGCCCGTCGCTTAAATAGTTGGAATCAACGTTCACCCGGCTAAAAAATTCGATTTTGGCGAAAAATCCAAGATCTGACACTTTGACCCTTGTGACCCTTGTGATCCTTGAGCGACTTTCTTCCCGGAACAATCCAAGATCCGACACTTTGGCCTCCGGTAAAAAAACATTTTGTTCATTTCTCAATTTTTCCGCATACTTTTGATAGTTCTAAATAGCCCGTCGCTTAAATAGTTGGAATCAACGTTCACCCGGCTAAAAAATTCGATTTTGGCGAAAAATCCAAGATCTGACACTTTGACCCTTGTGACCCTTGGACCGACTTTCCCCCCGGAAAAATCCAAGATCCGACACTTTGGCCTCCGGTGAAAAATTTTTTTTTTCATTTTTCACTTTTTCCACATACTTTTGATAGTTCTGAATAGCCCGTCGCTTAAATAGTTGGAATCAACGTTCACCCGGCTAAAAAATTCGATTTTGGCGAAAAATCCAAGATCTGACACTTTGACCCTTGTGACCCTTGGACCGACTTTCCCCCTGGAAAAATCCAAGATCCGACACTTTGGCCTCCGGTGAAAAATTTTTTTTTTCAGTTTTCACTTTTTCCACATCCTTTTGAGAGTTCTGAATAGCCCGTCGCTCAAATAGTTGGAATCAACGCTCACCCGGCTAAAAAATTCAACTTTGGCAAAAATCGACTTTGACCCTTGACCCACGTGAAAATGAAAAAAAATTTTTCCCCTTTTCTGTCATCTCCGAGGGTTTCATTGGCATCAGGGNCCTAGTTGGAATCAACGTTCACCTGGCTAAAAAAATCGATTTTGGCGAAAAATCCAAGATCTGACACTTTGACCCTTGTGACCCTTGGACCGACTTTCCCCCCGGAAAAATCCAAGATCCGACACTTTGGCCTCCGGTGAAAAATTTTTTTTTTCATTTTTCACTTTTTCCACATACTTTTGATAGTTCTGAATAGCCCGTCGCTTAAATAGTTGGAATCAACGTTCACCCGGCTAAAAAATTCGATTTTGGCGAAAAATCCAAGATCTGACACTTTGACCCTTGTGACCCTTGGACCGACTTTCCCCCCGGAAAAATCCAAGATCCGACACTTTGGCCTCCGGTGAAAAATTTTTTTTTTCATTTTTCACTTTTTCCACATACTTTTGATAGTTCTGAATAGCCCGTCGCTTAAATAGTTGGAATCAACGTTCACCCGGCTAAAAAATTCGATTTTGGCGAAAGTCGACTTTCCCCCTGGAAAAGTCCAAGATCTGACACTTTGGCCCCCGGTGAAAAATTTTTTTTTTCAGTCTTCACTTTTTCCACATACTTTTGATAGTTCTGAATAGCCCGTCGCTTAAATAGTTGGAATCAACGTTCACCCGGCTAAAAAATTCGATTTTGGCGAAAATCCACTTGCCCCGGAAAACCCGAAAATCTGACCCTTTGGCTGGGGCCAAAAAAAACGGTTTCTCAGTTTTCACTTTTTCCACATACTTTTGACAGTTCTGACTAGCCCGGCGCTTAAACAGTTGGAATCAATTTTCACCCGGTTAAAAAATTCGATTTTGGCGAAAGTCGACTTTCCCCCGGGAAAAGCGGAAAATCTGACCCTTTGAAAATTTGAAAAAAAAAAACTTTTCAGTTTTCACTTTTTTCACATACTTTTGAGAGTTCTGAATAGCCCGTCGCTCAAATAGTTGGAATCAACGCTCACCCAGCTAAAAAATTCGATTTTGGCGAAAGTCGACTTTCCCTCTGGAAAAACAGAAAATCTGACTCTTTGGCTCGGGGTGAAAAAAAAAATTTTATTTCGACTTTTGTCGCGCCTTCGGGGGTTTCATTGGCATCAGAATTGTTAGAAAATACAGAATCAACTTTCACTTGGCGAAAAAATTCAATTTTGGCGAAAATCGACTTTCACCCTTGACCCACGTGAAAATGAAAAATTTTTTTTCCCCTTTTCTGTCACCTCCGAGGGTTTCATTGGCATCAGGGGGTCAATAAATACAGAATCAACGTTCACTATTTTTTATTTAAACACCGCCTGCATACGGGGTGATGAGGGTGGCTAAAATATATTCTGCAACCCTGTCTCCTTGTTGGCTACAAATTTCAACCCTCCGCATACATGTTTTCTCCTTCACCCGCTCGTAAAATCATGCGTTCTCGGTATCATCGAGGAGGACTTCTCAGGACCGAAAAGAACTGAGGATTCGAAAGGTCTCTGGAAAATTACGTCGCAGAACTGATTAGGACTTACCAGGTCCATCTAGGTCTGGAGAGATCTTGAAAGACCTGTGTACGTCCAATCAGAACCAAATCCTCGACTCGGGAATCTCACCAAATATCAACATCCTATCTAAATTTTCTCGGGAATAATCGTACACAGACCGATTTTCTCATAAAAACGAAAATCTGTCCGTCGTTATACAGCAATATTGAGATTTGATTTGTTAGATATTATCACAAGGAATATTTTGACGCAAAAAAATTCTATTCAGTTACGTAGTTTGCGAGACATTGAGGATTTTTGAGATTGGAGGCAAGGATTTTTGAGAAATTGCAATTTCTCGGAAACTAGTTGACCGATTGAGTTGAAGTAATATCAATTATGTGACGAAGTTTCAGATTGTGAGGTTCAACTCTAGTTCTTTTTCTCTGTAGATTTATAAAAATTTTCCGAAAAATTCATACACATACGAACATACATACACACATTTTCTAAAACCACCATATCTTCATTGCCAGGCAAAATTAGAAGATCGTCAAAATCAACGATCACGAATCTCCTATTGGGAAGCAAAAACTCAAAAGAAGACACTTACGCTCCTGTGGAGACAAATGTATACTTTCCTTTTCAATTTTAGAATCTTTGGAATCTCTTATTGATTCACCCATTTTTAATTATTCATTTATTATTTATTCCATTGTTTTTACCATTTTCGCTCCGAAATTTTTAATGGATCCAATAAAACGGCTATTTTATACTGAACAATATAAGAAACAAAATAGAAATATTAAATTGGTTGAAGAATTCATTCCACTGCCAAAGAAAAAGTCAGTCACACCGAAATTCTATTCGAAATACGAGGGACTAGGGTCGGAAGAGGCACCAGCAGAGTACATAAAATTGATCGAGAGGTTCACTGAGTGGGTGCCGCAGGACATCTACACGTATGAACCACCTACGGCGAATATGGAGTCAGTAATCTCCTTAAAATAGTATATTTCGTAACGAGTGCAAAAAAGTGCTTTTTGGCGAGTGGGAGGTTTATATCACGAGCCGAAGGCGCGTGATATAATCCCACGAGCTAAAAAACATTTTTTCACGAGTTACGAACAATATTTTTCATCACAATGTGGCGGAAATTGGACTTTTAGGCACGCGGAGCGTGCCGAAAAGTTCACTTTTCGTCACGGCGTGATGAAAATACAAATTTCGACTCTCTATGAGTGCTCTGGACTTACTCATCGCCCCACCTAACCACATTTTTTGTTGAAGAAATAGTATATTATGTCAACAAGGCGATAAAAGTATCATCTGGCGAATGCGGCTTTATAATTCGAGCCGAAGGCGAGGATTATAATCACATTCGTCAGATTAGTATATTTCGTCACTAGGCCGAAAGAAACTTTTCTGGCGAATATGAGTTTGCAGCCCGAGCCGAAGGCGAGGGCTGCAATCATATGAGCTAGAAAAGTTTTTTTTGGCCATATGACGAACAGTATTTTTTGTTATGACGGCCGTAGGCAGAGATTAGGCTCCGCTCCGCTCTGCGTCCGTGAAGCGCTGCCTCACGGCCGGAATGACAAAAAATACTTTTTCATTGCTCAAGCCCAAAAAGGGCTCTTTTACCGACGGTAGTTAAGCATGAGAAGTAGGTCTTTTTACCGTTGAGCAGTATAAAAGTGAGAAATGCACTACTTAGGAGTGAAAAAGTGAGAAATGCACTCCTTAGGACTGAAAAANTGTATTAAAAAATCGAATTCTATTAAATTTGGTTCATTCAATATTTTCCATTGAAAATTTCTATTGAAAATTAAACGCAAAAATTATCTGCAGAGATTTTCAATAGAATCGGCCAAGTACTAATAAAAAGTTCAATAGAAATTCAATAGAATTTCTTTAGTGAATTTGCTAGGTTCTTTCATGATTTTTTTTTTGTGGTATGATCCCCTTGTAACGGGTGTCTAGACGGCGTTTAACCCTAGTCTGGTCACCAAACGCGTCCCTGCGACTTATGTCACCTGAGCGGGGATTCCCCGCCGTGTTATTTAGGCTTTAGCGTTGCCGATTCACTCTACACTGCCCGGGCGCGTTGAGCGAGTTTCCGGCAAGGTCGCGTCATGGACAATTTCATCTAACATGGGAGAAAATTATTCATCTGTTCGAAATGATTTGTTTTCTTTAGGAATTTTGGGAAATATCTTGTTCTAAAAACTACTTTTTTTTAAGACACTTCAATTGACAAAGTCAAATTTTTTTGAATTTTTCCGGTTAGCCACTCAATTGTAATTAAATAAAAACGACGCACGACGGGGTTTCCGTCATAGGGTGACCAATGTAGGCTTAAAAGATTAATTTATTCATTATTTATGAATATTTCAAAAACAAGAAAGCATTTATTTTGCGTCGCCTTCCTCTACATAAAATGAATAAAAAATATTAATTCATGTTTCGATCTCCAGTTATGGATGGTTCAGCCAGCCGTTAATCCCCAGATCCACAGATCCGAGACTTCACTTTCCACTGAAACAATGTGATGTTGTCAAAACTGAAATTAGAATTAGAGATACGGATAAAGGCCTGCCAAGGGAGAAATTCGTGGGAACTCCTTTTTATCTCTAAAAAAAATTAAAATATTTAAGGGAGAGTCGGGCAAAATGGGACATTTCGAGATCTTCTCTAATTACTAATATCTCCACCTATAAAAGAAGATTGACAATTGACAATTGGAAAAGATCTCAATACGTCTCATTTTGCCCGACCCTCCCCTACACATTTAATCGAAAATTGTCAATCTTTAAAACCAATAAAATAAAATAAAATATTTTATTTCATGAGCCGATGAGTTTTATTCTACAACTGAGTTGAAAGAAAAAATGCATCTGCATTATCAACCCCTCCTCTATTATTGACGAATTCACAAGTGAAATATATCAAGCCGCCGTTAGAAATTTCTTCTAACCTGACGATTCCACGTGTTGTGGTCTTGTATCCAAGCAACGAAACGCCGTCGACGTCTTGAGACGATTCAAGGGCTTACACCTGTCACCAGAAAGTTTGTCTCAAAATTCTCTAATTTTCAATCAATTCCCTGATAAAATAAACAGACTCATCATCGTCTCTCTGGAAAGTAAATTATTCAATGTTATTTCTTCACAATATGAGGAAAAGTATTAGTTGCCAAGAGATTGAAACTGATTTCGATAATTGTTGAGACAAAATGACGTTGAAGCTGAAGGAGAAAATTTGTGACTATTTGAGACTGGAGAATAATGGCAGCAAGGGGGTTCTGTGTAAAAATAGATTTCGATTTACAAGCAGTGAGTACTTTTTAGAGCAATCAATAATTCATTTCGAAGGGCAATTTTAAGCAGGAGAAAATAATTCATTTCAACTCTGCATTTACTTAAAATTCACTTGAATTTTTACATTCTTTGCTCAATATTGCTAGAAATTCCAGGACCAATTGTCTAATTGATTAACAATAATTTTTTGAGTGTAAGATTAAGAAAAAATAGAAAATCCTAGCGCATTTACTAGAAAATTCTATTGAATTTCTATGAGTTTCCTGTAGATTCAGTTGACAAATTTCGCAATTTATCAAGTGTTTTTTAAATATTTAATAAACAATACAACAACAAACAAATAATTTATTCTGCTAATATTTTTCCTACAAAAATTGGGCAATACCAAAGTTCCATAAAAAATATTTCCATAAAATAAATTGCACAGAAAGATAAAAATCCATTCAGTTGTTCTATTAAATGAATTTTCCGTATTGAATATTTCTAAGTAAAAATACGTGAAGAAGCTGCAGAATTTTTCAATTGAATCGGCGGAAATGTAATAGAATTTTCAATAGAAGTTGAATAGAATTTCCTAGCGAATATGCGAGGATTTTTGAGGTAATTTTTCTGTAAATGACGATATGAAAACATCGTAGTAATTTCATACAACAAATTTTTTCCATTTTTGTGGAAAATAATTTTGATTTTCTTTATTGTGATAATCTTTCTATTAGATTAAAAGAAATCGAGAAAGATTATGGGAATATCAGATGAAAATAGACTTAATCATTGATTTTGTTCTAGATAACGTGTCCTGGAGTGTGGCTCTGTCCAAATGGAACAGTAGCCCTTCGTATAAACGCCTTCAACTCCCACATTCAGTCCCGGAAGACAACTCCGATATTCCCCCTTCTGTTTAATGACAAATTTCTATTCAAAAAAATATTCCCAGGTGTTTGCAGTCTCAGTGATCTTCAATGTTGTTTGGAAGACGAATTTATTTATGCTGAATTGATCCAGTGGCCATCGGTGGGATGTAAGGGAGTGATTCTCGCTACTTTCGAGACTAATCTGGTGGATCTCCTATATCCCGTCCCTTGTTTCAAAGGACTACTGGCGGGGGCTGATGTAGATCTTTTAATGGAGTGCAGTAAATATTTTCCGGTGAATAGAATTTAATTTAATACTAAACGTAAAACTTTAAATTTTCTTCAAAAGGAAAAAAACATTCAACAAAATAGTGGAAAATTGCAACATTCCGCTCTTACAAATTCCATTGAGGATGTTTATTCAAAACCGCAAACACTTTATGGATTTTTGTTTTTTTCTTTCAATTGATGGACAGAGTTATCTTTCTCTTGTTGACAAAAACTTTAATTACCATCCCAAATTGATTAGAAGTTGTATAGAAATTGAAAAGACAATATGCACTGAATGTAAAGTTTTCAATATCTACACAATTTGAAAATAAATATCGTAAGAGCACGTGTATAAGAAAACAAATGTCCATTTCATTTTATCAACTCTACTGTATCTAAGTATTCTTAATTATCAGAAATTTTGAGTTTACATGTTTCCGCATCAGTCTAAAGAATTACAGAAATTTCCGGATATATAGCTACGATTTTTAAAAAATGATCGCTTCTAGAGGTGAAATTATTTTGAAAATTAATAATTCTAGAGAAAAATGGTAGGACTTATGTTTTGTCGGATGTCCATAGAGTTGCAAACCGAGTCTTGCCACCTTTAATACTAAAATTTCATTGCTGAAAAAATTGTAACACAAAAATATTAATTTCACTACAGAGCGATTTCTGTTTTAAGGGGAGACTACTATGAGTTTTAAGTCGCCGGCTATTGGAGTGAGATTTTTCATGCATTGAAGGTCGATTATACATGTCTAAAAACGAATAATTAGTACAAAAAAATTAATTGTTCATTGTTCGTTTGCCCCACAGACGCTTAAAATGTTAAAAATAGTCCAGGGCCTCCAATTTTAAGCTACAGAGATGGTGCTGAAACTAGCGAAAGATTTGACAGCAGAAGATTTGTCTTAGGCGAATCTAGGGGTCTACGATGTTTTTAACTAATGTACAAACTCTTTCGCACTCAAAAAACATTTGCACATATGATTACTTGACTCTTCTACACTTGAATATCCCCTAAATTGAATTTTCCACCGACGAATATTCTGCTAATTTCAACTTCATGCTACAGAGGTTTTTTTTCAAAATTTTTGAAAAAATGCGTACAATAACAATTACGAATTAGTTTTTTGAAATTCGATTCCTACACAGCGAATTTCGTTTTGTTTAATATAAAAATTTGCGCCATTCATGTAAAATAGGCAGAAAAATTATCTTTAAAATATTAAAAATATATTCTCGATTCATTCAGAAACATTTTTCGGGCTATTTTACATAAATGGTGCAATTTTTATTTAAAAAAAAACAAAATTAGCTATGTAGGAGTTGAATTTCAAAAATCTAATTTGTAATTGTTATTGCACACATTTTTTTCAAAAATTCCCCTGGACTATTTTAAACGTTTTAAGCATTTGCGGGACAAACGAACAATAAACAATTAATTTTTTTGTACTAATTATTCATTTCTAGATATACATAATCGATCTTCAATGTATAAGAAATCTCATTCTAATCACCCGCGACTTTAAAAACTCATAGTAGCCTCCCCTTAACTTTCATTCTTTCACCAGGGTATCATAGCTCCAAAAATTGAAGTTTCTACTAGAACTGTAATCGAAGAAGTCGTAGGAATTTGCGAATTGGATCTCGCTGGGTCACATGTTATAAATCCAAAGTTGATCAATTCAAAGGTAATACAACATATCAATTAAAAACATTTGTAAAAAGATAGTGGTATTTATCTCCAATAGATATGGGGCGTTCCATACTATTTCAATCGACTTTTTTTCGATTTCGATGAAAATTGAATATGATGCAGAAGTGTTCCAAGTATGCCTTGGAATGTTATCAAAAACAACTTATATATAATCAAAAAATTATATATAAATCAACCATAGGGATAGTGGAAAAAAAATTCACAACATCGATGAAATTGTTATAGTGCGACGTTTTGCCAAATATTTTAGCTTCATTAGACTCTTGACGTAATCAATGCCTGCATTTAGCGAAACGTGGCACTATGACAATTTAATCGATGTGGTGAACTTATTTCTCCACTATCCTTATGAACAACTGGTTGATTTGTAAGAAGTTTTCTGGGCTGGAAAAAAGTTTGCGACATTTTTTCTAGAAGTGCTCGGTTCGTTGATCATCACACGGAGTCTTCAAAGATTGAAGCATTCCGGTTGATATAACTCATCCTGTCAACTATCGAATTATCTTGGTAATGAAGAAACGATTTTTCACAGCCCAGAAATATTTTCTAAATAGCGGTCTTCTGGCTCTTCAACAGATTAACAAAAATGATGACTTCAACTTGGCTCATTTCACCACTGAATTACTATTTTACAATAGGGGCGTCCTTGTGTGCATCGAAAAAAACCACCGGTGGGTATATTACGACAGAGAAAGGTGTGCCACAGTCAGGGAAGACCAAAATCTCCATCGACTCGGTGATTTTTTTTTCTCTTCTTCTTCACTGATGAAAGATATTTATACTCAAGGAATCATTCAACTCCACAGCTGCAAACATCACCATCATCACCACTGTCTCTCCGATTCTTTCCTCGTCTCTTCGACCACTCAAAAATCCCAAACCCACGTGAACCAGTGCTATCAAAAGCTGAACAAGTCTCCAAAGTCTTTCAGCCCAGGTCCATGTCGAAGAATCATCGAATCCTCTGCTCTTCAGCATCGATATCACGACCTTGATGACTGCTCTGTATGTCTGAAGTACAAAACATTGTTTTCAAAGAAATCGAGTCACGACAACATCTGCCAGTGCGACTCCGACACTCGTAAAGAAGCTATTTACGGTGTTTGTGATGTTTCGAACTGCACTGAACATGCCTCGTCAAAATCAACTTCTTCTATGTACGTAGAAAAATAAAAGGTCCACTCTCCCTGTCCCATTAAAAAAAAGAGAAAAATCGACTTCTGTTATGTTTGCAAAGGTAAATTTCTGCCTATTTTTTGCTTTCAAAGTTACATTTTTCCATTCTTGTACAATTGGAGGAAATTATTCTGTCACGAAAAAAAAAATTCCCCTTTATGTATGAAGAAATTCTATCAAATTTCTGTTGGACTTCTATTGAAAATTCTGCTAGTCTTTCGCCAATTCTACTGAAAAATTCCAGGATTTTTCTGCGTATTTTTTTTTCAACAGAAACTATTGCATCCAAAAATCAATAGAATTTGATATTTCCATAAAACTCGTTTTATTGAAACCTTTTCTACAGAAATTCTTCTGCCTAATTTTTATAATTTTCTTTGTTTGATTTTTTCAAAAAATGGGACAAATGGAGCGGAAAAACTTCAGAAAATTTATGTCCAGGAATTCTTATGGAAAATATTTCAACACAATACATTGAATAAAATAATTTCTATTAGAAAAACGCGCAGAGATTTTTCCACAAAATGGTCGAAAAATTCATAAAATTTTTCATAGATGTTCGCTAGATTTGCCTGTTAAATATGTTCGTACACGGACTTCTCAAATATTTGTAAGCATTTTTATTTCCAGACTCCAAAGGATCAGGAGCCTTCAAAGATGTTCCAGATGACTAGGCGTAAATGATAAACGATGAAATTATAAGAAACAAAAAATGAAATTTATTGGTAAAAAAATTATACCAAATTCAATCACCAATTTTCCGTTCATTAAGTTAACTAATCAAGTATACCCATTTCTCAGTTAATATTTGCATTATTATTTCACATAAAAATGCTAAACGTAAAATATCCAGCCTTCACCAAAAACAATTTTGTTCCACAATTTTTCTTTCCGATGCTTTGTTTCCACGGAGTTTATTTAAAATTTGAGGGCTGGCTCTTTCCTTTTCCTCCTTGCTGAGTGATGTATTTAGTGCATACAATGTATTCTTGATGTTCATGGTAATTAATAATAATAATTGAGTTCCCTGGTTCGTAGCACGCGCCTTATTGTATGCTAATGATTACAGAAATGAATTAATCATCGTTTGTAACAGAGTGTAATGAGTGAATGAGTACATTCATAACGTTTAGAACATTGTTATTATGACTTTACTAAAGTCTTTGAATATTTTGCTCATCTTCTCATTAAACTTTACCTTCTATTAAATAATTAAATCAATTTAACCAAAATCAGCGTCACGTGGTTGTGTAATTTTTCCTCTCTTGTTTTTCGTAAAAATTTCTTAGGATTTTACAGTAAAAAACGACGATTTTTTCGAAAATTACAATTTGATGAATTGATATGTGTTAGTTTTCTTCACTGATTTATTATTTACTTCTAGTCTTCAGGGATCAGGACCAAATGTATGCGTCAATTCAGTAGTAAAGTTGTAGAAGATGAGTTTCTTATCCTGTGAATTCTATTGGGAGGAATGGGTATAGAAAAAAAGTGTCAAGACATTTTTTCTTCCGTAGAAAATTCTGCAAAAATATCTACTAACTGGATGAACTTTACATTTCTGGAATTATCTTATTCATTTTAGGTAAATAAATTCAATGCAAATGGTTTGTAAATGGTGTCATACCTAATGATTTTGGAAGAAAAAAAATGCTAAGAGACTTTTTCTCCTGCTCACAAATTCTCTCATAAGAGAGATATTCTGATTCCTTCATCTGAAGCCATAAGTTGTATAGATGTTTATAAATTATCTAAAGTGTTCGAATTAGGGAAATTAAACAAATTAGCCCTCATCAGCACCGTCCTGATCCCCAAGAGATCATTAAAATTTCATGAGTGATTTTTAATGGTCAGAGATGCGTGAAAACGAGTAATAAAAGCACAGTGACATGATTAAATACTTTGACAAATGTATCCTAATGTTTTTTTCTTTAATTATTGACTACGAACCAACGTGACTATCCCGCGGATTTCCATTATTCTCATCTAGTTTATCACCCATACCTTCACAAACACATTATAAATAATATCTACTCAATTATAAATTAAAATATTCTCATATTCTGAATTCAGTAAAGAATTTTTTTAGAATGTGTAAATTATTTTTCTATTCCCAAGGATCACACAATAGGTAAACAATGCGAAGCACATGAATATCTCTTGAATTAATTAGATGTGGATCAAGAGATTTTGGGGAAAATGAGTATGAAATACTATTCCATTGTCAATTCGCGACGTTTCGTTTATTATTTAAGCTTTCTCAGACTCTTGACAAATTATAGGATGAAAACTGACAGGTGTTTATGAGTTCTGTGATAATTTATGCAGATGGGTTTGTTGTCGGACATAATTGTTATTAATTTTTATCCTGCTGACATATTATGATTTATGAATGGCCTGCGGAAGCTAAAATAATAAGCGAAAGGTTACGAATTGACGACGGAATAATATTGTTCATTCAATTTATCAAAAATTCCCATGATCCATTTTCTAATCGATTAACTAACATGTCAATGAGTAACTTTGTCTCTTAAATAATAAACATGTACAGTGTATTAAGCAGCACCAGCTGTGATACACATTCTTCTCTGTACTAAATTTCAAATGAATTTTTTGAACAAATTGCGACGACTAGAAGTGGCTAACAAAGACTCAACATTTGGTAATTGCAGTAGTTTTGTAAGAGAAAAAGAATTATTAACCTTAAAATTTGTTTTCTCCTCGAATAGTACAAAACTTTTAATCTATTCTAGTAAAATTTATAAATACGACCAATGAAATGGCTAATAATTAATTTTCTCAGATGTTTACAATCAGAAATGTGAACGCAATAAATCATTCTCAATTTTACAACATTACTTATACAAAAGCCCTCTCAATTCTGCATTGAAGTTGTAAAACGTCTTGTAACAAATATCTGTGATATTGTTAATAATAATAATAATAATAATAATAATAATAATAATAGTTTATTTCTTTTCGTCCATAAATTTCTTCTTCTCGTGTTCGTATTGTTGATAAATATACGCTTATCTCAACAAGCGAGTGATTTGAACTGGAAAAATTTCCTCAATTAAAAACTTACTTGGTTGGAAAAATATTTCAATTGTAATTTAGTGGATTCTAAAATCACAACACTTTTTCTGCCGATAATTATAAGAAACAGATTTCTTGCTATCGCTTGCAATCACTCTTCTTCGAGATAATGCTGTGTGAATAGAATGAGATAAGTGGGTTCATTACGTTTTACGACTTCCATACAAAATTAATTACAAGATACCAAAAAATTTGAAAACATTGATAAAATCATTCATCAAACGTAACAAAATTTAGTCCACCTTCTTCGGCACGTGAAAGTATCTTGAACAAAAGGTAAACTAGCATGAATAACAAAATTCCATAAACATATTCATCTTTTTATACAAATTGAGGAAAATCATTGAAAACTCTTGTCGTTAATTCCACTGAGTATCACACTACTAGTAAAATTGGAAAAATGCAAGAAAGTATCGAAATTAATGCTGGACATCTAGTAGCTACGTTTGTATAAAAAGCAAACGAGGCTAGACTCGTTCAAATGCAAAAAAATAATAAGGAAAATAAATTCTTTCTAATCTACGATGATTTCCATTGGATTTTGGTCAATACTTTTGACTCGATGATTAATAAATAAATATAAATACATACAGTCAGTCACCCTCGGGAGGTTGAAACCCACGGGAATGAGGCATTGAATACCTTGTGAATTGAATAGGTAACTCTGTGATGCAATTTGCCACACTTCAGCACATCTGGACCCCAAAAATGAGTCGTTTATTACTGCTGTGGCTAATGAATGAATTACCATTTGGTCTTTAGTGAGAACAAAAACTCTTCAGGCCACCAGGTGCATTTGTGAAATTTCCATTGCACCATTAATCGAATTGTTTGTTTACTTTTTTTTCATTTTAATTAGAGGTCCTTAGGAAAATCGACTGCAGCTACAGGTGCCACTGTCCCCAATTGACGTTGTTTTTCCGTTTATTGACGTTGCATTTGTCTCGTATCGAGGTAATTCCTTGCTTCGTGCTTGCTATTTTATAAAAAAAAAAACATAAAAGAATTGTTTACTCGTGTGAGGCTCATAATTGATGGAATAGGTCTTATTCTATTTGAATGGTTTTCTGTATTACTTCGCATGAAAGATATCTCACTAACGAGAGATATTAAGAGGCATTAATAAAAGACAATTTTTGAAGAAGATTCTGTAAATATCAAAACAGGTCTTTTGACATTTACTAGTTAACATAAAGTTTTTTTTTGAGTAACTCTTTTGTTAGTAGAATAAATCAAATGGGTTGAATGTTCTGAACAAAAAAAACCATAAACCTTATATTCAACTTCATTCAACCTTATATTCAACTCGATCCATGTTCATAGTTAATTCGGTATCTGGTAATAAAATATACTATCAGTAGAAAAAGTCGAGAGGTTTTTCGTAGGTCATTTCCGTAGCTGCATAAAACATCTTCTAATATTTTTTGATGGACCTGTTAGATTCACGGATATTTGTCAAATAAACTCTGTCTGAGAGTAAACGAATTAGCAGGGAAAAGGGTAAATTTATCAAACGTTTTATCAAGTAATTAAAAGTGGGGGTAACAAAATTGAAAATTAAGATCTTAGCAATAGCTGGGAAGTGCAAAGAAAAACAAAATGAATTGAATCTTTTTGCCAGTTTCGCATTCAGTCCAGAATCAAGAAATTTTTTAACAAAAGGAGACTTTTTTTGTCAGTTGAAACCATTTCCATCAAAAAAGATCTCGTGTTAGTTTATCCTGAAATCAGCTGACTCGTTTTGGTACATTTTACTACTGCTGGAATACGTTATACCTCCATTAATTCCGCAGCAATCTCCATAAACAATCTCTCAACGTTTTCAGCTTCTTTCGCTGATGTTTCAAGGAAATACATCCCATGACGTTGAGCAAAATCTTCTCCTACGTGGGTCGGAATTTCTCTGTCCTCTCTATCAATTTTATTTCCTGCAAAAATTAATTAAAAAGTTGAAACATCAAAAGCTCATCATAAAATGCCAAAAAGGTACAATTTTTCTGTCATAAAAATCTTGACATTTTAGGGAACTTACCAACCAATATCCTCAAAACTTTGTTACTAGCATATTCCTCAATTTCCCTCAACCAGTCAGGTAAACAGTCAAACGTCGGTTGACAAGAAATATCGTACACAAGGATTAATGCATGAGCTGATCTATAGTAACTCTGGGTGATCGATCGAAATCTTTCCTGGCCCGCAGTGTCCCATATTTGGAGCTAATTCAAAGGAAGAGACAATTCGTTACATAAATGTTACAGTTGGTTCACTCACTTCCGCCCAACTGCGAAATTATACCCAGAATGAGTGATTTTCGAAGAAAATATCGTGTCTTTTTTGCGGAAAATTCTTTCGTTTTAAAAAGAAGACTCCTCACATTTTTTTCTAAAATCATTCATTCTCTGGATAAACTCATAATCATCGAAGAATCCACCTTTTTCGTAGCAAAAAATGCTCTTTTTTTGCCACTGGACAGAAAATACTTTACAATTGAAAATATAATATTTACCTTCACTTTTTCATTCTCTACTTCGACAGTTTTTATCATAAAATCTACTCCTATCGTGGCTCCCTGTCCCGGAGGAAATAATCCCTGAAAAAAAAAATAAAAACGTAGGATTGATATCCATCATGTTTTGAAAATTGTAATTTTCTCGTTGTTTATCTTCCATCAATGTTTACACAAATTACCTGTGTAAATCTACGAACGAGACATGTCTTTCCAACGCCGGCATTGCCGACAAGAACGACTTTGAACAAAAATTTATAATCCTCCATTGCATTGGTATCTGTACCACTAATTGTCTCTATTTCCACCTTTTAACACTGCTCCATTTATCAAACAAAAAAGTCCCACTTTCCTTGCTCGCTCACCTTGACGATTTGATGAAGGTTTCCCTTCCGTTAAAAAATTGTGAAATACCTTTCTCCTAGGTACAACGAAAAATTTTGACAAAGAATTGCATCAACAGAAGTTCACTAATGCAATGTTAACAATGATAAGAGTCAAGGAGTGAGGAAACAGATGGAGATTAACTGATTGTTATTACTAAACAATGATTTCGCGATAATGACAAGGAGTCGTTGGTCATTCTGCCTGTCAGACTGACGTTTTTTTTTACGACTACTGCTACTACTGCCACTAACACAAGCAAAGGGCGAACAGATATTCCAACGTTAAGGGGAATTCACATGGGCGATCGGCGATGCTTATAAAGCTCTTCGCGGGTGTTGGTCACGAATTTGAATCTATTCTCGTCAAATGTCGGTGAGGGAAGATGAAACATTTTCATTACTTGAGCGGGAGATAAATAACGATGTATCCTATGAAATGTTAATTCACCAAAACTCCACGTAGTGGGCGTTAGTGGACTTTTTTTAATGTTGGTGATTCATTTCATTTTATTTTTATTTCATACAGACCTAACAGCACACTGCCAACTACAGGATCAAATTAATTAAACGTAAAGTATAATAATGAAGAGTTCAAAATAATGCTCATGATGGAAGGCATTATTTATATTGCTCATTTTATAAAATTACTAAACTACCTAATCTATCTGAATGTGTTAATAATATCCATACTCAAATTTTTGTTTTTTTTGTTTTCCTATTTTTATTTTTCATTTAATTACATCATAGTTACTTTCAGTTGGTTTGCACTGCTATGTTTATTTTGGCATTCATTTATTCATTTGCTCATTATATTATTCGTTATTATTTTCGTGTATACCCGATTGGACAATTACTTGCATCACGCTTTGTACCACGGATCGGAATATTAGCGTCAAAGATCTTGATAATTTCAATCATCCATTGAATTGATTTATTGATTCATTGAATGGTTACTGAAATGGGATACTGTTTCCACCGAAAGTAAACTTCTCTCCCTCTGCGATGAACCTACACTAGGATCAATTAATAAATGTATATTTGAGTTCTGAATATTGAAGAAAAATGTGAAAAGGATCCGTTTTGCACCACACTTCCGCTATTGATAAAAGGATGAAACTTTTTTAAAGATTACTATATCAATGAATATACAGGGTATTAATTAAACAGTTCATCAAGTAAGGAATAACCTAAATATTCATAAAAGTATTAAAAATTTAGAAAAAAACAATTTTTTAAGCCAATAAATAGCGATCAGGGTGGGCATCTGTCAATAACCGCAGTTTTTTACATGACATTGTAAAAAACCTGTAATTTACGTAATAACCGTGAAAATGTAAAAAAACAGCCGAAGTTACATTTTATCGTAAACCGTGGAGTTTCATACCTCGCCAGGATCATACCTTTCGAGGGTCACACCTCGTAAGGGTCATACTGTGTAACGGATGAACTTTACAAGGGTCAATCTCATTATTTATTGATCTCTATTGAATTCGTCGCTCCATCATCTTTTGTCTTGACACTAACTTGTTTCATTCGGCATTCTTAAATGATAAAACTAATTCAATTGTCTTTGGTAGCTTTTTTGAACTCTTCAGAACAAAATAGTTATTTTCATCACAAGGTCCACAAAGTATTTTCTGACGAATGTGGCTTTGCAGGCCGAGCCGAAGGCGAGGCCTATAATCACATTCGTCAGAAAATACTTTTGGACCGTGTTGATGAATGCAATTTTTCGTCAGAAGGCCCGTAAACCGCGATCAAACCGAGCGAAGCGAGGTTAGAATCGCGGTTTACCAGGTCTTCTCACGAAATAGTTCATTTCAGGTCCAACGGGGCTTTTCCGGGGCTTCAAATAATAAAGTGGAGAGTCTAATAAAGTTCAATAAATAATGCGATTGATTTTCTCACAAGGGAGATGAATTGTGACTTTGGTCTTTTGCAACATTTGATCCTCGTGAAATTTACTCTATGAATTTACTTTATGAAGTCTGAGGCTCATGTTTTTGAGTTTCTTAAAATGCCGTAAATCGTATTACGTGATGTAATAATACATTATATCACCAGGCGATAAAAGTATTTTTTGACTAATGTGGCTTTATAATCCGAGCCGAAAGTGAGGATTTTAATCAAATGAGTCAGAAAATTGTTTTATCGCCGTATGACGTGCAATATTTTATGACTCTGGGCCCGGAAACCGCGATTTAATCGAGGGCATCGATGTTAGAATCGTGGTTTTACGATCCTAGGGACATAAAATGATACTTTATGCACCAAGTACCGAGATCCGTGTTCGAACCGAACGAAGTGAATTTATAATGGGCGGTTTATCTATTCTCGGAACATAATATACTATTTTTTATGATATTTATGTGTTCAATAGTGCGTCTTCGTCAGTCGGAATAAAATAAAACATTCTATAGTAATCGAAAATTACAAGTTTTTCGAAGTAATGTGAAAAGTGTAAAAAACACGTCGAGGTAATTTACGTAAATTATGTCAGTAACAAACGATGTAATTTACCAACATAATTTATACGCCCAACGCTGATAGCGAGTCAGCTATTGGGACATCAGACTTAATCTATGTCCGAGTGTGTAGCTGAATTTATTTCTCGTCATTGAGTTTCGTATTGTTGCTTATGAGGCATTCCACGATATTTCAATACGCCAAAAATTGTTTTCCCCTGAGTTTTAAATATGTTGCAGAGGAGATTCAGAAATGTCTGTAGACGCGAGGACAATAAAAAAAAATTTTTTTTATATAACTCATGCAACAAACAAAATTCGCTGCGGCATCAGGTAGGTAATCGTTCATAGCATCATAATTCGGTAAATATTCGTTGTATGTATCGAAAAAACAGAAAAGTACTTTTTTACTGCAAAAGTGTGATCTATTTATGAGAAAATTTTGTTTTTGCCAAAAATTGCAATTTACAATGACTTTGTTTATAAAAAGAAATTAAAAATGATAAAAAACGAAAATACAACTCGCTAAAAATCTGAAAAAAAAAAATGCGATAAAGTGCTTATCAGAAAATGCGCTGTTAAATTTTCATCGGGTGTTTTAATATAGGGCCTAAGATATTAATTATTTCCTGAGGCCGCGTCGAGCTAAATTGACGGACCGCGCTGTGTAGAGCCACAAATAAGCTCCCAGGGAAACGCATTGTTTTTTACTGATTAATAATACTCATAGTCTGAAATGTAAAATTTATTCCCTGGACGACGAATTCGTGATTCGAAACATTGTAAAGTAACTTTCTGAAATGCATGCCACTCTGTAAAACATGAATGTAGTTTTTTTTTCACCTTTCTGTTTTTAATAAATTATTATTGCTTCCATTTTCCTTCCACCATTTCGCATAGAAAGAAAGAATGCATTCACATGTCAACAATCAATTACATATTTATTTTACAGATACTCGGAGCATCCGTAGAATACCGCAGACTCTCAACAACAAGTCGCTCAGCGCAGCGTGCTCATTGCTCCACTTGGATCGATGCAACGTCATCTATTGACTTTTTCCTATCAAATATCTAATAGAATCTGCACAAAACGAATTTTAACGAGAATTCCCTAGAATTTTAATAGAATCCCAATAGAATTTGCTAGCTAATTCACTAAGTTTTTCTTTTGAATTTTTTCATACGTGCTACTATGAGTTTTTCTAAAATAAAAATTTACTCCACCATATTTACTTCTTCCGCTTGCACCCTCAACGCTTCGAAGACATATTATGCACGAGAAATTCACCTTCCTGAATGCGATAATTAAAAAATTGAGATCTATCATAAGTAAACGTTCTATCAAATTTCTGGTCTTGTTATAATTAAGTATTGTTTTTTGCGCATATTATATTTATTGCATATTATTTTTTAAAATCTTCTTTAGGTCAACTTCAGTCATGAAACGATAATATGTTGAAAAAAAAATTAAGGGCAAACGGTGGACCAAAATGTTTCTCATTTTTTCACTATGAGAAAAACAATTACGGAAAAATGTCACACGTACTTGAGAAAAAAGGGTCATCAATAATTAGGTCAGGGTTATTCTAGAATACTCACATCGTTCAAATTCTACGTCTGTTAGGTCAGATTGATAAAATCTTTTTCTTCTGATTGGACGCCCAAAATCGTCAATACAGTGGACAAGCAATGGAAATTATTGAAAAAATACGCAATAAGGTTTATCTATATTTTTTCCCTAGATAAAGAGGAAGGATGAAAAAAAAATTGAAAAATTTTTCGTACTTGAAAAAAAGTGTGACCTCCCCCTTAAGGAGTCACCCCTGTTGTTTTCAGACAAACACGAAAAGATGTTAGCGAACTGAATTTTTCAGAATCTCTATTAATAAGTAAAAGGAATCATCTGGAGAACGTGGATAAGTTGTATCGACATTTTTAACGTTGAATTAATTATTGAAGTTGAGTTCAGCTCCCATTTCATCAGGGAAGCGCTACGTCTGTCGTACTTCACTATATTATATATTGTAGCCTATGATGCACTGGCAAGTATCCAAACAATAACATCAAGTTTTTCATAATAGATCATCAAAGTGAAAGGGTTCAATTCTGAGAAAAATATTATCAGAATTTAATCTTTCCGACATTAATAATTTAGTATATGATAAGAAATTAGTAATCAATCATTGGAAAAAAAGAGAATATCAATGAAAATAAAAAAGAGCAGGGAAAAACTAATCAGTTCATGGAGAGGGTCGTAAAGTAATAATAATATTTGCATGGCGAATACATGTCTGTTTTATTTTTACATTCCTTCAAACGACGTAAATGCACGGAGAAAAATGTTCAGTAAAAATTACGGAACTCACAGTTCGCTCACCGATTACGGAATCGAGTCTCGAAAATTCGAGTGACGTTATCGTAATTTTTTACAGCAAATTCAGGTAAAAATTACGGAATGCTCTGGAAAAATTCCGTGATTGTCCACATTTCTCTCCGTTATTACGGAAAAGATGGGTAACTTTTATTGAGCATTTCTCTCCGTGTGAAATGATTCCATTCACATTTGTGATTTATTTAATGAAAATATATCAATGAGTAAAAATAATTGATGTAAAAATTTTCTCGTTTTCACTTTACTTTCCTCGCAGCAAAATGGTAAAAAACAGGAAGCACGGAGGAGAACATTATAAAGGTGGTCTAGTGAATAGCAGAGCTCGCATGCACCCCATCAGAATGAACGGTGTTAGTTT